GAGTCCTTCAGTCCTGGTCTAGTCCTGGTCCAGTCCTGATTTTAGTCTGGTTAGTCCTGGTCCTAGTCCTGATTTAGTCCTGATTTAGTCCTGGTCTAGTCCTGGTCCTCCAGTCCTGGTCTAGTCCTTAGTCCTGGTTCCTGAGTCCTGAGTCCTGAGTTCCTGAGTCCTGGTCTAGTCCAGTCCTGGTCCTGTCCTGGTCCAGTCCTGATTTAGTCCTGATTTAGTCCTGGTCCAGTCCAGTCCTGATTTAGTCCTGGTTCAGTCCTGGTCCAGTCCTGATTTAGTCCTGAGTCCTGGTCCAGTCCTGAGTCCTGGTCCAGTGGTCCAGTCCTGATTTAGTCCTGGTCAGTCCTTTCAGTCCTGGTCCAGTCCTGGTCCAGTCCTGGTCCAGTCCCGGTAGTCCTGGTCCCTGGTCCAGTCCTGGAGTCTGGCTCAGTCCCTGTCCAGTGGTCCAGTCAGGTTGGTCCAGGGCCGGCCATGTGGTGGAACGAGGCTTTGGGGTTGAAGTTTTCACAGCAGAAGATTTCCACCAGTTTGGACAGTCCCACTTTGTCCTGCAGCACCTGAACGCAGCACAAACACACCTGAACACACCTGAACACACCTGAACACACAAACACACCTGAACACACCTGAACACACCTGAACACAGCACAAACACACCTGAACACACCACAACACTGAAACACACCTGAACACACCTGAACACACACTAACACAAAACACCTGAACACAGCACAACACACTGTGAACACAAAACACACCTGAAACAGCAAAACACACCTGAACACAGCACACCTGAACACACTGAACACAACACAACAACACTGAACACAGCAAAACACCTGAACACAGCACAAACACACCTGAACACACCTGAACACAGCACAAACACCTGAACACACAAACACACCTAAACACACCTGAACACACACACACTGAACACACCTGAACACAGCACAAACACACCTGAACACAGCACAAACACACCTGAACACACCTGAACACAGCACAAACACACCCTGAACACAGCACAAACACACCTGAACACACCTGAACAAACACACTGAACACAGCACAACACAACACACCTGAACACAGCACAAACACACCTGAACACACAAACACACCTGAACACAGCACAAACACACCTGAACACACCTGAACACACAAACACACCTGAACACACCTGAACACAGCACAAACACACCTGAACACAGCACAAACCACAACACCTGAACACAGCACAACTGAACACACTGAACACACCACACACCTGAACGCACAAAACACACTGAACACAAGCACAAACACACCTGAACACACACTGAACACACAAAACACAGAACACTGAAACACAAACACCTGAACACAGCACAAACACACCTGAACACACCTGAACACAGCACAAACACACCTGAACACACACACCTGAACACAGCACAAACACACTGAACAGCACACACACACACAACACACACTGAACACACACAAAACACACTGAACACAGCACAAACACACCTGAAACACACCTGAACGCAGCACAAACACACCTGAACACAGCACAAACACACCTGAACACAGCACAAACACACCTGAACACAGCACAAACACACCTGAACACAGCACAAACACACCTGAACACACCTGAACACACAAACACACCTAAACACAGCACAGCACTGAACGCAGCACAAACACCTGAACACACCTGAACACACCTGAACACACAACACACACAAACTGAACACACAACACAAACACCACTGAACACAGCACAAACACACCTGAACACAGCACAAACACACCTGAACACACCTGAACACAGCACAAACACACCTGAACGCAGCACAAACACACCTGAACACACAACACACCTGAACACACACAACACAACACACAAACAACAACACCTGACACACCACCACACCTGAACACACCACAAACACTGTTAGTCTCAAGCTGTTTTCAGGCCGGTCAGAACATTGCCAGCTCCTGCACCAGTTACACGGGGAACCAAAGGTTTTTACTGGTGAACGAGCCGCGTTCAAACCATTTAAGTGAACAGAGGGAGTGGATTTAGCACCAAATAAAAACAAGGCCGTACGAACGTGGAAAATAAGTCATGGATCAAACCATCAACACCAGCGAGAGTTTAGATTCAAATCAAGATTTATCTGCACCGAGCTCTGATGCAACATCTGCTGTGGAGAAACTGAGCTTTGGTGTGAACACGTCAGTTTTTTCGAGATTAATTTAAACTAATTTGTTTTACCGAGTGTGACTGACAGGGTCTCACCTGGTACACCTGTCGGCAGGTGCGGTCACTCCGGCTCAGGTTGGAGAGGATGGAGCAGATCTGGTCTGAAAACGGAAACGAAGGATCCAGAAGGTTTGAACAGAGCAGAGGCAGAAGATCCAACTCTGACACCAGCACCTGAACGCAACACAGACCAGTCAGACCTGGTTTAGTCTTGGTTTAGTCCTGGTTTGGTCC